AAAATAAATAAAAAAAACACTGACAAAATCAAATATGTGCGAATATTTCCCCAAAAGTCACTCTAAGGGTCAATATATGATGATTGCAACAATCCTGCAGATAAAGTACTAAATGTTATAAGATTAGTAGAAGATTAGGCAAGAACATGCAGATAGCAAAAAAAATCCTGAACTAATAACAAAATAAACATAATTAAGAGTGGCACTGACTGTCTCCTAAAGTAAAATCCAACATTGTTTTGACTCATTCCTGCTTCCTTCAAATGTGTTGCTGGATAAAAACATCTCAATAATATATAGCCACATGCTCATAAAATGTACATTTCTAAAGCATACACATCAACTGCACATATTGAACCTTATCTCCAGTCTCCCTGCTTGTATATTTAGGACTGTAATAGTGATAGATAGTAAAGGCAGAAGCAGTGCAGTGCTGTGAGCAGACCCCCAGTCTATGAAAACAGGCCTCAGTGGATGACAGGCCTAACGAGCTAAATATAGCCTTCTGGGTTATCTCCTCTGTGGATGCAGCGAGTCCGATGTTGCTTCACATTATTTACGTGTCTGTGCATGCACCCTCTCTCTCCATCTTTCTTTCTTTCATTTCACACTCCACACACCATCCCATCACTATCTTTTTCTCTTTGTGTTGCATTCTCTCCATTCCATCCCTTCACAGCATCTTTTATTCCTCTCTCTGTCCCCTTGCTTTTCTTTAACATTTCCTCTCCCTCATTTCTTTCCTGCCTTTTACTTCACTCCCTCACACCATCAGTACATCCCTCCTGTCTTAATCAGTCTCTTCTACTCCTTTTATTCTCTTCATCTTTGCTTCCCTTTGTATCCTTCCCTCCATCGCTTAGCAGCTTTTTTTTCTGACACTCTGAGCCTTTTTTCCTCTCCAGCTATCTTTCGCATTGAGCCTCTCCTCCTCTCCCTCTCTTACTCAATTTCTTTCCCTCCCTCTAAATTCTGAGCCATGCCCATGAAGCAGCAGAACACTGTTAGCTCACCACAGTTAGCTCTTGTTCAAATTACTCAGCCTGGGGTGCTAAATGTCTGCCACGCTAACCTACATGGATATGTCATCAGCATCTGCAGCTCCCTGACCTCCTACACTGTTAAAGCCCAGTGTTGAACATAAACACACAGCAGATGACACTCTACTCTTCCTCAAACTCAGAGTATACATATACACATATACATATGTATATATACATATACATATATACATATGTATATATACATATACATATATACATATATATATATATACATATATACTGTGGGAAAAGTGTGGCAGAAAACGCTGCACAACGAGAAGAGGTGACCGGACCCGGAGGAGGATTGTGGAGAGGGGCCGATTCCAGACCTTGGGGGACCTGCGGAAGCAGTGGACTGAGTCTGGAGTAGAAACATCCGGAGCCACCGTGCACAGGCGTGTGCAGGAAATGGGCTACAGGTGCTGCATTCCCCAGGTCAAGCCACTTTTGAACCAGAAACAGCGGCAGAAGCGCCTGACCTGGGCTACAGAGAAGCAGCACTGGACTGTTGCTCAGTGGTCCAAAGTACTTTTTTCGGAAGAAAGCAAATTTTGCATGTCATTCGGAAATCAAGGTGCCAGAGTCTGGAGGAAGACTGGGGAGAAGGAAATGCCAGTCTGGGGTGCCATGTCAGCTGCTGGTGTTGGTCCACTGTGTTTTATCAAGGGCAGGGTCAATGCAGCTAGCTATCAGGAGATTTTGGAGCACTTCATGCTTCCATCTGCTGAAAAGCTTTATGGAGATGAAGATTTCATTTTTCAGCACGACCTGGCACCTGCTCACAGTGCCAAAACCACTGGTAAATGGTTTACTGACCATGGTAATACTGTGCTCAATTGGCCTGCCAACTCTCCTGACCTGAACCCCATAGAGAACCTGTGGGATATTGTGAAGAGAAAGTTGAGAGACGCAAGACCCAACACTCTGGATGAGCTTAAGGCCGCTATCGAAGCATCCTGGGCCTCCATAACACCTCAGCAGTGCCACAGGCTGATTGCCTCCATGCCACGCCGCATTGAAGCAGTCATTCATGCAAAAGGATTCCCGACCAAGTATTGAGTGCATAACTGAACATGATTATTTGAAGGTTGATGTTTTTTGTATTAAAAACACTTGTCTTTCATTGGTGGGATGAAATATGCTAATTTTTTGGGACAGGCATTTTGGGTTTTCATGAGCTGTATGCCATAATCATCAGAATTAAAACAATTAAAGACCTGAAATATTTCAGTTGGTGTGCAATGAATCTTAAATATATGAAAGTATCATTTTGGTCATTACATTATGGAAAATAATGACCTTTATCACAATATGCTAATTTTTAGAGAAGGACCTGTATATATGTATGTTTACACAATATGTATATGGCTTAATGTTGAAGCACATTTTGACATTAACGAACACGCCCACAAATTTCTGACTAATCACACAATACTTGGCGCATTTTCCTGAGAAAAAGTTGGGCCAAGGCCTTGTGTCGAGAAGGGGCAGGCGAAGCTGCTCTCCAAACAAAATGACACTTTTCATCATGCAACTAGGACACTGCCGATTTCATCTTCAGATCAAGTATGCAGGGCCTTGAGTTTGTTGTAACTCCTCAGCCTGAAGAAGTCCTGCATAAAGAACCATAACCTGTATGAATAAAGGTTGAATGAAGAAGACTTTTAGATAAAAGATGAATTGTTTCAACAAAGAAGAATCCGTCCAGAGGACCTGACTCAACCTTGTTAGCTTCATCTACCTGGATTACTGAGCATGCACCAGGACTGTTTAACTTTGTAACTGTGTTTAGTTGTTGCTGCCTATCTTGACTAGGCCTCCCTTGAAAAAGAGATTATTCATCTCTATGGGATCTTTCTGGTTAAATAAATGTTTAATAATAATTATAGATTAACTGAATAACCAGGAGTTGTGCAGGTGTAAACAAACAGACATGCATGTTACGTATACACATACATGTGTGTGTGTATATATATATATATAAGTACTTAAGAGTGTGTTTGTGAGTGTGTGTGTATTTTATCAGTTTATCCCCTTCCTGACTAAGTTTCACCATCAATCTGTGTGACTTCCAGTTTGCCTATCTGCTTGCCGTACTCTCCCACTCTCCTGTCTGCCTCTCGCTCTTTCCGTCTATCCATCTGTGTGTCTATCGAGCTTACAGTCCTGATCCTGCCTGCTCTCCCAGGTTTATGAAATGCGAGCAGCTTAGCAGATGGTGCATATCGTATTCTGGTTGGCTCTGTGTGGGTTTTGTACCACAGACGAAGGCTTAACAATACATGTGAGCCTTTAGTCACATAGGCACACTGAAACAAGGAGCTCAGGCTTTTAGTGCATAAGAGGAAAACAAGTGCCAAACACACAGACTGTAAAAGGTAGAAGGTTTGAAGGAGGAACAAAATGTGGTAAACAATAAAAAAAAAGCATGTTACAAAAGAATAATTAAGAATAAGATAAACAGTACAAAAATGTAATATTTTATGCCAAAAGCTTCTGCAACTACAGCCTCCAGAAATAAAAAGTAATATTATAATATTGACGGTGTTTATTCAGTTGTTTATTTGGCGGAAGAATAAAGCAAACCACAAATGTATATATATATATATATATAAATTTAAAAAATTACCAATAAAACAATGTGTTTTTCTAAATTATACGTAAAATTTTAATAAATTTGTTATAATTCTTCTACATTTTTATTTAGATTAAACAAAGGAAAAATTATGAATATGAAAAAATTAAGAAAAAGTATTTTGATGCACAACTTTCTAATTATTTTAGCTTTTAGCTCACAAAACAAAAGATACAGATTGGCATTCCTGACTATTGATGTTTGAAGGAAACAAACAATGCTAAAACACATTTAGCTTCAACAACTATTATATTCTATCTGACATGTTTATGACGGCTGTTTAAATCTCTTTCTAACAGTTGAGGCTAAATATGCTCCTGGCAATCATTTTAAAGTTGACTGGATTTCTGAAGATTCTCCGAAAATCCCACGCCAGGTGTTTTATGACCCACAGTGGTGTCCTGACCACATCTGTGGTAACCAGTGCTAAACCCTTCTAGAAAAAAGAATCATCATAGATCAACCTACTTTAAGTGACAGAACACAGTAAGAAAAGTTCCCCAAGCTTCCATGGAAACCTGTCAGTCAGCTCTGTTTCAGTAATGACAGTGGAAGAGCTGGTTTTCTTCACATAGCCAAACTTCCAGTATTTTCTTCTTGTTCAAATTACATTTTGCTACATATTGATGATTGATCAGTCGCAATCATCTGTTTACCCTATATCCATATCAGCTTCTCTGTAGCCCTTCATTTTTGGCTCATTTCTTTTAGCTTGGTGACAACCACTGATTTCTGTTCCTGCCCAATGTGGCACTTCCCATGTTTCTTTCCTCCTCCTTGACGTCCTTCACATTTTGCCTATACTTTCTGCAGAGTTCACACAAAGCTGAATGAGAACAGTCAACACATTTTGCCACATTTCAATCTGAATCTTGAAGAGTTTCGTTTTCCATTGTGTTAAATGGCAGTTTTCTTGTTGAGACCATGTCTTTCAATTGGCTATAACAGAACATTAAGCTCAAGAAGAACTCTTTAACTGTGGGCTAATTTTATACATTAACATGTATTTATTAATAAAAAGTCATGACGAGTCCATATTTTTTTCTTCCACTTAATCTGGACAAAATCAGTCAAAAATGGCAACAAGATATTTAGATATCTGTATATATTTATCTGGTTCAAAAAGTCAGAATGCTCTGCTGCTAGGTTAAAAAGACGGTGTCATATTAGTGTTTTTTATATCTACATTCTGGTTGACACAAAGACAAACAGCTTCTGCAGACAAACGCTTCACACAAGTTCAATAGAGAGTCTAGACTAATTCTTGTAGAGAAACCCACATTATCTCAGATCAGCAAGTCATGCAACCAAACTGGACTCACCATGATGTAGTGCCTCTGCATTTCTGTCTTCTCACTTGCCAGCTTCTCACATTCCAGCTTCAGGCTGCACAATAATAATAAAACAGACACACAAATTGTTTTTTACAGGTATCTAGTAAAATAAAGTCCAATTATCATCAAACACATAATGAAGAATCACTCATGGCTTAAAGTTCTGTAAAGTTACAATTATAAATTACTGTATGGTGGTAGGGCTGAGCCTTCTTTAAGGAGTGTAAAAAATGCCTTTATGATAGAAAAAACTATCACGGTGTTTTCAAAACTGAATGCAATTCTGCATTATTTCATTCTTTGCATCATGTGTTCATTGTTGTGTTAAAAAAACAAACCATCAAATAGGGTTACAATGCAGCAAGGGGGCTATCAACCTCAAAAAAAACTATTAAATTGTCCTTGTAAATCAAGGACAAATTTTTAGAGATAAAGTTTATTATTATTAACCTTTATTTAACCAGGCAAATCCCACTGAGATCACAGATCTCTTTTGCAAGGGAGGCCTGGGTTTAAAGGCAACCTAACATGCATAGTTATGTTGATGATGATGATTATTATCATTATTATCGTTATCGTCATTATTATCAATATTGTTATTGTCATTATTGTTGTTGTTATTGTCATTATTATTGATATTGTTATTGTCATCATTGTTGTCATCATTGTTGTCATCATTGTTGTCATCATTGTTGTTATTGTCGTTATTGTTATTATTGTTATTGTTGTTGTCATTGTTGTTATTATCAATATTATTATCAATATTGTTATTATCAATATTGTTATTGTCGTTATTATCAATTTTGTTATTGTTGTTGTTGTTATTGTCATTATTGTTATTATTGTTGTTGTCATTGTCGTTATTGTCGTTATTATCGATATTGTTATTGTCATTATTGTCGTTGTTATTGTCGTTATTATCGATATTATTATCGATATTGTTATTATCAATAATGTTATTGTCATTATTGTTGTTTTTATTGTCGTTATCAATTTTGTTGTTGTCATTGTCATTATTGTTATTATTGTTGTTGTCATTGTCGTTCTTATCGATATTATCAATATTGTTATTATCATTATTGTTGTTGTTATTGCTGTTATTTTTGTTGTTATTGTCATTATTATTGATATTGTTATTGTCATTGTTGCTGTTATTGTTATTATGTTATTGTTTTTATTGTTGTTGTTATTGTTGATGTTATTATTTTTAATGTTTATTTTTAACAATTACTATAGAACATTTCTAGGCTGTTTAAATCAGAGGTTCTGATAAGTTATGTTGTGAAACTTCAAGTGAGGGGACTTGAGATGACTAATGGAAATCAAATAGGACTGACTGCTGATAGTATAATTTTAATAGTTGTTATAAATTTTAAAAAGCCAATGCTGTAAATGAGTGAAAGTATAACTGATGATAATGGTTGTTCTGTCATCATGTCCACATTTAACAGATTCATTAACATTTGTGCACTTTGCCAGCGATGGTTGGTGTTACGAGTCTCTACCATGGTTACGGGTCTAAAGCTGATATTTTGAGGAATCACTCAAGTTCAAGTTAAGGAGATTAAAGGCCAAAGATTCAGAAACTTCAGACATATTATGAGTATAAAATGTCACAGCTTCACTTTTTTTCAGCTTTGCATGTTTGCGTAAATGAGATTCACAAGTTCAACAAAATGTAAAAAAGTTTTGTCGATGTGAAATGTACTACAGAGAAAAGGGGTTTTCTGGCTCGAGATAATGTCATAAAAGAAGTTTTATACAAGGCTGTACTCAGTTTTAGTCATTTTTACATGCTGATAACAATTTTCAAAGTGTTGTTTTCTAACAGCTAAGATAAAACGAGCAGCACAGTTTCAAAACAAAACAAAAAGAACTACCAACATTTTCTAAAAGACATTTACATGTATGGATACAGACTGTTTGTGTACGTTTATATACGTGTTTATATGTTTACCTGTGATACTGAGCCTGAAGAAACTGGAATTCCTCCTTGATACGATCCAGGGTTTCCAGGACTGTGAACTTGAAAGACTGGCCAGGTTGCAAGGGGACCTGCAGAGGACAAAATGTAAGAGAAAGAATGAACGAACAACATAAACTGAGGTCTGCACGCACCCCTTCAAAGGAACATTAGACGCTGCCTATGCGTACAAGAGCATGTGAACTTGCATGTAACACACACTGGAGTGTGTGCAGGTGAGCAAAGCTCTGAATGTGAGTGATTGTGCATCTGTGGAATAACAAGGCAAAAAAAGGAAGAAGTCATGATGAAAATGTGCAAGAAGGTCACTTTCTCTTCCCACACATCATAAAGCCTCATCCCTTGCCTCCCTGTTCTTCTCCTCTGATGACTCTGCCTTCTTCCCTCCATCCTTTCTTCCTCTCCTCTTTTCTCCCTTTCTTTCACATTAGCATCCTTTCCACTTTGCAAGGTTGGTAATGTATTCAAGCCTACAAAGAGCTAAGGAGGGAAGAAACATCAAATGAATAACTTATAGAGAATCATGGTACCATCTCACCTGCTAAAAGCTAAAGAAGGCCCAACAAAACAAGCAGCTCCCAGGGGGCCAAGCACCACCAGCAGCTGTTCATGTCTGTATAAAGTGCTGCTGACAGTAACCCACCTCCTCTGTTATCTCCATGAAGTTGGAGAAACAAGGGCGCTGTTGATGTTTTTGATGCTGTAGTTGTTTTCTTTAGGGATGGAACTGGAGTATGCAGAGTAGTCTGTACTCAGGGGAGATCATTGCCTTTTCCTCTTTTACCTTCCTATCAGTTCATTTTTCTGCTCCACAGAATATAAAATATTACTTTGTTCTGCCAGGTGTGTCTAGGAAGTCGATTAATTAATTTTTCTTAAAAATGTTCCCGCCTGTTTAAGCACATTAATACAGTAGTCCCTCGTTTATCACGGGAGATCCATACCCTGAAGATCCACGATAAGTGAAAAATGGCAAAGTAGGAATAGTAATACAATTAGTAAGTAGTAGTTTATTATCTATCTATCTATCTATATATATATATATATATATATATATATATATATATATATATATAT